CCCGAAATGGGAAGTCACGGAAGAGTTCTGTGTCCCCAGGTTGACAAGTGTCAGTAAGCAGTTCTTGCTTCCCCTCATAGTTAAAATCTGATAGTAGAATCCCTGGGAATCCAGACTTGCTTTGGGGCAGTTAGCAACTGCTCTGGGCCGTGTTGGTTGCTCCTCAGGTCCATGAACTTCCAAAGCCCTTCCAAGGTGATCTTCTAAGTCATGAATTCTTCTCTCCACTGAGTAATCAAAGCAGTAGCCCTAAGGACAGCCGTGCATTTATCAAGCACATCCAGGGTGGGGGCCTAACAGTCTTGTGAAGAGTGTGAGCTTTAGAGTTAGTTAGAGCTGCGTTCAGATCCAGACATAGCCAATTTTTTAACATCTTTATTGAGATGTGATTCACATACTATACAATTCACCCATTTAAAGTATACAATTAAATGGGTTTCAGTGTGTACAAAGAGCTGTGCAACAATCACTACTATCAATTTTATAACATTTTCATCATCTCAAAAAGAAATTCCATACCCATTAACAATCACTTCCCATTCCCACCCCAACCCTTGTTAAAAAACAAACAAACAAACAAACAAAAGCAGCCAGACAGTAGTTAAGACAGTAAAAACAGATTTTATTCAGAACTATTGCAATATGGGACAAAAGAGATCTCAGTATAGAACTGAACTCAATTCCAAATACAGCAAAGATAAGTAGGGATTTATAGCGAAGGAGCAGGTTGGGGAGGGGCGTGGTTGGTGGATGGAAAATTAAGAGGAGGCAACAGGCGTAGGGAGATATTTACTAAATTGTATTCTTGCTGAAGGCAGGCTAAGGTAATCAGAAATACCTGGGGGACAGTAGGGAATTGGGAATTTGACATATCAAGTCTAGAGTAGGGGATTCTCACTAAATTGTCCTAACAGGATTCTTGCTAAAACTAGGCTATGTAGGCCTAAGATCTAGGTCCAAGGACAAGTCCTAGTTGAGTAAAGGGCTTAGAGGAGGCTGACTAAAGATTGGTCAAGGAAAGAGTCTTGTCACCTCTGCAGCCCCTGGCAATCACCAAGCTGTGTTCTGTCTTTACTGATTTGCCCACTCTGGAAATTTCATATAATTGGAATCATACAACATGTGGCCTTTTCTGGCTGGCTTCTTTCACTTAGCATAATGTTTCCAAGATTGTAGCATGTATCAGTATTCCATTTCTTTTTCTTGCAAAATAATATTCTATATTTTATATAGTCATTCATTAGTTACTGGGCATTTTGATTGTTTCCATTTGGGGTTATTATGAATACTGCTGTATAAACATTTGTGTGCAGGTTTTCTGTGGGCATATGCTTTTATTTCTCTTGTGTATTACCTAAGAATGGAATTGCTGGGTTATATGGTAACTCTGTTAAACTATTTGGAAAACTACCACCACTGTCTTCTACAGTGGTGGCATTACTTTACATTACATTCTAACCTGCAGAGGATGACGATTCCAATTTCTCCACATTTTCTACAACACTTGTTATTATCTGTCTTTTTGATTATAGCCACCCTAGTGGGTATGAAATGGTATCTCATTGTGGTTTTTTCTTCTTTTTTTTTTCATTTTTTTTTTTCATTGTGGTTTTGATTTGCATCTCCTTGATGGCTAACATGTTGAGCATCTTTTCATGTGCTTAATGTCCATTTGTGAACCATCTTTGGACAAATGTTTATTCAAAGCCTTTCCTAAATTTTTAATTGCTTTTTAATTATTGATTTGTAAGATTTCTCTATATATTCTATGTACATGTCCCTTATACAATTTGCAAATATTTTTTCCTGTCCTGTGTGCTATCTCTTCACTTCCTTTCTTTTTTCTAAAGATTTTATTTATTTATTTGTCAGAGAGAGAGAGCACAAGCAGGGGGAGTGGGAGAGGGAGAAGCAGGCTCCCCACTGAGCAAGGAGCCCGATGAGGGACTTGATCCCAGGATGCTGGGATCATGACCTGAGCTGAAGGCAGATGCTTAACCAACTGAGCCACCCAGGTGCCCCTTCACTTTCTTGATAGTATACTTTGAAGCAAAACAGTTTTTAATTTTGATGAAGTACAACTTATCTACATTTTATTTTGTCACTTGTGCTTTTGGTGTCATAGCTAAGAAGGCTTTGCCTAAACTGATGTTATGGAGAATAACTCAGGTTTTTCTTCTAAGAGTTTTATAGTTTTCCATCTTTTTTTTTTTTAAAGATTTTATTTATTTATTTGACAGAGAGACAGTGAGAGAGGGAACACAAGCAGGGGGAGTGAGAGAGGGAGAAGCAGGCCTCCCGCTAAGCAGGTAGCCCTATGCGGGGCTCGATCCCAGGACCCCGGGATCACGACCCGAGCCGAAGGCAGATGGTCAACGACCAAGCCAGCCAGGCACCCCTATAGTTTTCCATCTTACATTTAGTTTTATGATCCATTTGGAGTTAATTTGTGTGTATATTCTGTGGCAGGGGTTCAACTTCATTCTTTTGCATGTGGATTGTCAGTTATTCCAGCATTATTTGTTGAAACACTATTCCTCCTTCATTGAATAGTCTTGGCACTCTTGCTGAAAATCAACTCACCATAAATGCAAGGGTTTATTTCTGGATTCTCAGTTCTATCCCATTGATCTTAATATCTATCCTTATGCCAGCCCTACACTGTCATGATTATTGTAGCTTTGTAGTAAGCTTTGAAATCAGGAAGTATGAGTCCTTTAACTTTTTTTCTTCCCATTCAAGATTGTTTTCATTATTCTGAGTCCCTTCCCTTTCCCTATGATTTTGTGGATCAGCTTGTACAATTCTAAAAAAAAAAAAAAAAAGCCAATTGGGACTTTGATAGAAATTGGGTGGAATCTGTAGATTACTTTGGGAGTATTGTCATCTTTCAGCAATGTTTTATAGTTTTTAGTGTACAAGTCTTTTACTTCCTTAGTTAAATTTATGCCTAAGTATTTATACTATTGTAAAAAGGATTTTCTTAATTTCATTTTAGATTATTCATTACAGATATATAGAAATACACCTAATTTTTTTTACATTAGCCATGTATCCTGCAAACTTGCTGAATTTATTTTTAAATCTAATAGTTGCTGCATGTATATGTATTGCATAGGATTTTCTTTTCTTTTTTTTTAAAGATTTATTTATTTATTCGAGAGAGAGAGGGGCAGAGGGAGAAGCAGACTCTCCACTGAGCAAGGAACCTGATGCAGGACTCGATCCCAGGACCCTGAGATCATGACCTGAGCAGAAGGCAGACACTTAACCACCTGAGCCACCCAGGCACCCCATGTATTTCATAGGATTTTCTATATACAAGATCATGTCAACTATAAATAAATACAGTTTTACTTCTTTTTTTTTTTTCCAATTTGGATATCTTTTATTTCATTTTCTTGTATAATGTTCCTGGCTTAAACTTCTAGTACAATGTTGAATAGAAGTGGTGAGAGTAGACATCCTTGTTTTGTTCCTGACCTTAGAGGAAGAACTTTTGGTCTTTCACCATTAAGTCTGATGTTAACTGTGTGTTTTTCATATATACACATTATCAGGTTGAGGAAGTTCTCTTTTATTCCTAGTTTGTTTCATGTTTTTGTCATGAAAGGGTGTTGGATTTTTGTCAAATGCTATTTCAGCATCTATTGAGATAAAGATGTAGATTTTTCCCTGTGTTCTATTAATATGGTATATTACATTGATTGGTTTTCATATGTTGAACCAATCTTAAACTCCTGGGATAAGTCCCACTGGGTCATTGTGGATAATCCTTTTTAAATGCTGCTGGATTAGCTTTGCTAGTATTTTGTTGAGGATTTTGCTAGTATTTTGTTGAGGATCTTCATTAAGAGATACTGGTCTGTAATTTCATTTTGTTGTGATGCCTTTGTCTGGTTTTATCATCAGGGCAATATTGCCCTCATAGGATGAATTGGGACGTGTTCTCTATTTTTTTTTACTTTTTGAAAGAGGTTGCAAAGGATTGGTGTTCTTTCTTCTTTAAACATTTTGGTAAAATTCACCAGTGAAGCCATCTTGACCTCAGCTTTTCTTAGTGGGTAATTTTTTGTTGTTGTTGTTAGTTCACTCTCTTTACTTGTTACAGGCCTGTTAAGATTATCAACTTCTTCCTAGGTCTATTTCAGTAGTTTACATCTTTCTATAAATTTGCCCATTTTATCTAAGTTATCTTATTTCTCAGCATATAGTTATCTGTACTATTTTCTTATAATCATTTTCATATTTATAAGGTCAGTAGTGATGTTCCCTCTTTTATTCCTGATTTTACTAATTTGAATCCTCTCTGTTGATTTCAATATAGCCAAAGGTTTGTCAATTTTGTTGTTCTTTTCAAAGAACCAATTTTTGGTTTTATTTCTTTTCTCTATAGTTTTTCTACTTTCTATTTCATTTATTTCCATTATAATCTTTATTATTTCCTTCCTTCTCCTTGCTTTAGATTTAGTTTGCTCTTCTTTTTGCAGCCAAATACTCCCAATTCTCTTGCTGTATCATCCTGGGTAAGTCACTTCATCTCTCAGAGCTGTAATTCCTCATTTATAAAATGCTACAGTCTACCTCAGGGGATTGTTAGGAGAATGAAATGAGAAAATGTAGATGAAGGGCTCAGTACTGAGTCTGGCACAGAGTTAGTGTTTAACAAATGGTAGTTTCTGTTACATTTTGTGCCAGATCCTGTACTTAGCATTTTATCTATATAACACTGCAACTATGTTCCATGATGACTTGTAAGAGTAGGATTAATTATAAGATTTTTTTAAAAAGTATTTTAGTTATGGCTTACTTAAATACATTTGAAATCTAGAAAATGGTATGAACCATTTCTCCCCTATTGCCAGCTAATACTGCTTTAGTCCACAGACTCTGTCTCAGAAAGGTGCCTAGCAGGCTCCCATTCCTAGATCCCCCTCCTTTTCTCTGTTACTCTTTTGCCCCTGCTTCCACTCCCAGGGTTATGGCCCTATTCTGCTTACCTCTGTGGTCAAGGATGGCAGGATCCATTGGCTTCTTGTGGTCAAGACCAGCAGGAATGTCTCTTGGCTCTAGGAGGAGAGTGGAAACACCTATTCTTCAGATGAAGTACCTTCCAGACCAATAAACCTCTATTGCTTCTATTTGTTTCCTCTCCTGAAAAAAAAAAAAAAAAGAAAAAGTCTATGCATTACTGTAATAAATGGCCTCCTCCTCACCTGAAGGAAGATGGGGAGGAGGAGTTGGATAACTTTTGTTGTGAAAAGAATTCCTCCCTTCTCACCAGGAGTAAGAGTGATGAGGAACAAGCATCCTAGGAGTACCCTTGCAAAGAAGAGTACTGCCACTTCCTTCAGTGAGTTAGAATTTCCCAACATGTTCTCAGGGGACTATCTCTGGATCCTCCAGGTAAACAATGAGAGTGTCCTCTTCTCAAAATCACTAGCAACATTCCTGTCACAGAAACAACTTCCAGTTCCAAAGACTAAACACTGCAGTATCTAGACAATGTTTTGTGGGTGGAGGCTTGCTAATTCCTGGTGCTTTGGAAAGAGCTTCCCACTTATCAAAGATTAAGGTAGTCATGGAATTCCCCTCAAAATGTGTGACATACACACCCCACTATATGTCCCCATGCTCTTCTTTCTTTAGCAGGTTTGAGAATAAACAGCTAATCTGATCATCATCATTATTGCTTTGAGTTTGGAATATCTCCTATCCTAATTACTTCCCTGGTGGGTAAACACTGATATGATGCATTATGTCAGTGATTCTCAAAATGTGGTCCCCAGGCCAGCAGCATCAGAATTCACCTGAAAACTTGCTAGAAATGCAAATCCTTGGCATCACTCCAGACCTAGTCAATGAGAAATTCTAGAGTAAGCCTCAGTCATCTGTATTCAACAATTCCTACAGGAAATGCTGATGTTGTTTGAGTTTTGAAAATCATTGCATTATAGGTCCAGCTTCTGTTCCCCTTTCCAGTTGTACTTTGTAAAGTGACAAGTATTCTAACCAGTTCACTACCAGATACAGAATTGCTGTCCAACAGTATAGCAGCTTTCACATGTAACAAAACCTGATCTCTGAACAGTCACTTTGGTGCCTTATGCAGGTGTCATAGTGTTTTTCCTTTGTGTCTGGGGTACTGTGTTGCCCCCATCACCTACCCATCAGCAAATGGAAATGTGTTCCTTAGCTTACCTGCAAACAGAGCCCTTATCTACCCATCTGGGCCCTTCCATTGATTTCAGATTCCAATGGTCAGATAGGGCTCCCTTCAAAATATCAAGGAGGTGGGTGGGAGGCCAGAGGCATACTCTTCATATCATTATATGTATGGACTTGACAGCCCACATGCCCATTCTACCCGATCTTATTATGGCCAGAGGAACCCCACCATGTTTATTAACATTTCTTAAATTTTAATACAGAGGTTCTTTGGATAATGACAGGAGTAATTCTCACTTTTTGATTCCTGACAATTGAGACAGTTTCCATAACAACGAACTCTCAAACTCTCTCAGGCAAAATGCATGCAAGCAAAAGTGCCTCCCAGCATACCTGTACTATCACGGATATTCTCTGATTCCAGGCAAGGTTCACTGGGCACGACAAGTGTCAAGACACCAATATGTTGCCCAGATAATAATTATTTTATTCAAGGGAAAACAATTAATTCTAGGGGTTTGAGGGATGATTTATATCCTTATAGTTTGTTTGTGTGGGCAATGATTTTACTAAACACTTGAAATGCAGTTGTCACGTTTTGCCTGAAATTCCTTGATTATTTTGGGCCAAAGAAACTCAATTAGCTTTACATACATTCCCTTTTTAAAAGTTTTTATTTTAATTCCAGTTGGTTAACATACAGTGTTATGTTAGTTTCAGGTGTATAATATAGTGATTCAACATTTCCATACATCACCCAGTGCTCATCAAAGTGCACCCCTTAATCTCATCACCTATTTAACCCATCCCCCACCTCCTCCCCTCTGGTACAGTTTGTTCTCTATAACTAAGAGTTTGTTTCTTGGTGTGTCTTTCTCTTTTTTTCCTTTGCTCATTTGTTTTTGTTTCTTAAATTCCACATACGAGTGAAATCATATGCTATTTGTCTTTCTCTGACTGACTTATCTCACTTATACTCTATGGCTCCATCCAAGCCATTGTAAATGGCAAGATTTCATTCTTTTTTATGGATGAATAATATTCACATGTATAAATATATGAAATATATATATATGTACCATTTCTTCTTTATCCGTATATATATGGAGATATATATATAATTTCTTTATCCATTCATCTTTTGATGGACATTTGGGATGCTTCCATATCTTGGCTATTGTAAATAATACTGCTATAAACATAGGGGTGCATGTATCCCTTTGAGCTAGTGTTTTTGTATTCTTTGGGTAAATACCCAGTAGTGTGATTGCTGGATCATATGGTAGTTCTATTTTTAACTTTTGGGGGAACCTCCATACTGTTTTCCACAATGACTGCACCAGTTTGCATTTCCAGCAACAGTGCAAGAGGGTTCCTTTTTCTCCACGTCCTTGCCAACACTTGTTTCTTCTGTTATTGATTTTAGCCATTCTGACAGGTGTGAGGTGATATCTCATTGTAGTTTTGATTTACATTTCCTTGATGGTAAGTGATGATGAACACCTTTTCATGTGTCTGTTGGCCGTCTGTATGTCTTCTTTGGAGCAATGTCTGTTCATGACTTCTGCCCATTTTTTAATTGGATTATTTGTTCTCTGGGTGTTGAGTTGTATAAGTTCTTAGATTTTAGATACTAACCTTTTATCAGATACGTCATTTGCAAATATCTTCTCCCATTTCATATGGTGGCCTTTTAGCTTTGTTGATTGTTTCCTTAACTGTGCAGAAGCTTTTTATTTTTATGTACTCCCAATAGTTATTTTTGCTTTTGTTTTTCTTGCCTCAGAAGACATATCTAGAAAGAAGTTGCTACAGCCGATGTCAAAGAGGTTACTGCCTGTGTTCTCCTCTAGAATTTTTATGGTTTCATGTCTCACATTTAGGTCTTTAATCCATTTTGAATTTATTTTTGTGTATGGTGTAAGAAAGTGATCCAGTTTCATTCTTTTGTATGTAGCTGTCTAGTTTTCCCAACACCATTTGTTGAAGAGACTGTCTTTTCCCCATTGGATATTCTTTCCTGCTTTGTTGAAGATCAATTGACCATATAGTTATGTGTTCATTTTGGGGGGTTTTATTCTGTTCCATTGATCTATGTGTCTATTTTTGTGCCAGTACCATACTATTTTGATCACTAGTACTTTGTAATATAATTTTGTAATAACTTTGTACAGAATTGTGATGTCTCCAGCCTTCTTTTTTCAAGGTTGCTTTGGCTGTTCAGGGTTTTGGGTGGTTCCATACAAATTTTAGGGTTGTTTATTCTAGCTCTGTGAAAGATGCTGTTGGTATTTTGATAAGGATTGCATTAAATATGTAGACTGCTTTGGGGAGTATAGACATTTTAACAATTCTAATCCAGGAGCATGGAATGTCTTTCCATTTCTTTGTGTCATCTTCAATTTCTTTCATCAGTGTTTTATACTTTTCAGAGTACAGGTTTTCCACCTCTTTGGTTAGGTTTATTCCTAGGTATCTTACTGGTTTTGGTGCATTGGTAAATGGAAATGATTCCTTGATTTCTCTTTCTGCTGCTTCATTATTGCTGATTAGAAATGCAACAGATTTCCGTACATTGATTTTGTATCCTGCGACACACTGAATTATTAAACATAATCCAGACATTATAACCTTTCATCCATAAATACTTTATATATAGTTCCCCAAAAATGAGGACTTTATTTTTTAATATAACCACAAACATTGGAGAGATTTAGACATGGGAGTGCTGTGGCATGATTTGTATTTAAAAGATCACTCTGGCTACTTATGGAGAAAAGATTATAGGTGCTCAATGATGGTAGTGAAGAGATTTGTTAGGTTACTTCAGTGGTCCAGGAGACAGATGGTGATCGTTTGGATCATGGGTAGCACTGGAAATGAAGACAAGTCAGACTGCTGTAGATAGAAGGTAATAGTAGCTCATGAAGTTAAGAAACTTTTTAATTACAAGGGCCTAAGGGAGCTCCTGCTCTGAGACCACAGTCACCTTTGTCAGCATTATCTAAATGCTTTGAGGAGAGTATGGTCTCAGGGAATTCTACTCTGGGGTGGCCAAGGATGATTGCTCTGAAGGTCACCCAAACCATCTGAGCTGAGGTATAATTAAGCATGTTGCCCAAATATATCTCAACTTCATAGCTTTGGAATACACGTGGGATGCTGGTCATGACATGGTGGAACACTCCTGGTAGTACTAGGATGACCAAGGTAAAATACTTGACTTGGTGGTCTGGGGTCCTAGCTACTTGTGAGGCTGCTTTGAACTTGCTAAGATCACTGCTTCTGAAGGCCTGAACTAGGATGGAGCTCCCAGGATCAGCTAATAGCACTATAGCCATAGAAAGTCCTAGCTGTGGTTAAGAGGAAAAGAAGAAGTACAAACCAGAGAGCTGGGGTTTGAATATAAGATTTTATCTGAGGATTAGACTAGGCCATAAGATAACATGGGAGATGGGGGGAGGATGTAAAACAAATCATAAGTTTGATGCCAAGAAAATCAACAATAGGTTAGGAAGCAGTGCACAGCTGGTCAATGAAAGTGGTTCAGGGTGTAGGCTGCAAGTCATGTCAGAGGTCTGTTCCAACTATGTGGTTTGAGGTTTGGGTGGAAGTGGGCTAATGCTAAGAATCCAATCGGGCAGGGTGAGACACTGGCAGATGTTCCTCCACTTGCCTTTGGGGCTACAGATGAAGGTATTATGTCTCCTGATACCTGAAATTTCCAGTCTCGTGTGGTCATGATTTCTAGTACTTGGTTGTCCTAGAGGAATTTTAGTTTACTATTTTGAAGCGTGGGTAAAGCCTTGCTATTTCCCCAGAGATTTCTGTCAATAACAATTCAGAACATGCTTACTTCTGGCCCTGGCCGCAAAGTATTCCCACGTGATATAGACTGGACCCTGGAAATGAGGAAATAATCCTGTCCCTCCAACTCCTGGGAGGAAGAAGCTTCCTGAGCTTATGCTCCAAGAGAATCATCCCAG